TGTAACTGCTTACTAGAGTGAAACATGTTGGAGGAATGATAAAATTAACCCAATGAAAAGCAGGAATGCCATAGGCACAGGGAACATTGTGGTAATATCCATATTCCAAGACTCTTCATCGTTTACCAGCAGATATATACTGTATGTAAGAAATATTGCCAGAACATAGGTAGAAGTTTGCATGTTGAAATGGCTACTACCTGCAGTATTATCAAGATCGCCCAGGTTGATAAGGAAGTCAACAATGAATTCTGGTCTCAGACCGAGCTGTGAGGTTAGAAGAACTTTGAAATGGATTAGAGGTATGGGTATTCTTGTTGTCATAGGAAACTGGCAGATTCAATCATATTTTTAAAGACTTTTCATTTTAATGGGGATTTTTACCTCATAATCTTACCCAAGATGTGATTTACGTGATGATGCTTGGTAAGGCACATAATGCATTATTTACATGTTTGGTAAGGCATGTAATTACAAGTGAGTGATAAAATGAGTGCTGTATTAATATAATTAATGCCTTGGAGCAATGGCAGTTTCACTCATTTTTGAAGGCTTTTTCAATTTTTAATGTTGATATTTTTTCCTCATAACTTTATTTAGCACATGATTTATATGCAAGTGCTTGATAAGAGGATAGTAAGATAAGGCATTGGTAAGTATAATTTTTAATTTGATTTTTATTTTTTGTCTTTGAGATTTTCGCACATGGATCACAAGTTCAGAGTGCCTCCTTCCCTGATTGACCTGAACTATCGGTGTTCAACTGTATATGTCCATAACTAGTTATGTATTGTATAGTATTTTCCTTTTCTTCTTTCAACAAGTTGGCTGTATCCCACTGAAGCAGGGTGGCCCAAAAAGAAAAAGAAAAGATTCTCTTTTTAATTTTAGTAATGTATGCAGGAGAAGGGGTTACTAGCCTCTTGCCCCCAACATTTTAGTCACCTCTTATGACATGCATGACTTAAGAAGGAAGACTTCTGTTCCACTTCCCCGTGGAGAAAATCGGAAATAAAGAAGAACAAGAACTAGTAAAAAATAGAAGAAAGCCCAGAAGGGTGTGTGTATATATGCTTGTACATGCATGTGTAGTGTGACCTAAGTGTAAGCAAAAGTAGGAAGATGTATCTGAAATCTTGCATGTTTACAAGACAGAAAAAAAACACCAGCAATCTTACCATCATGTAAAATAATTACAGGCTTTTGTTTTACACTCACTTCGCAGGATGGTAATACCTCCCTGGGTGGCTGCTGTCTACCAACCTACTACCTAGGCAGTATTTTCTTATACTGTATTTATTAAGCAATCTTTCTTCTTTCTTTCAACACACCGGCCGTATCCCACCGAGGCGGGGTGGCCCAAAAGGAAAAACGAAAGTTTCTCCTTTTACACCCAGTAATATATACAGGAGAAGGGGGTTACTAGCCCCTTGCTCCCGGCATTTTAGTTGCCTCTTACAACGTGCATGGCTTACAGAGGAAGAACTCTGTTCCACTTCCCCATGGAGATAAGAGGAAATAAACAAAAACAAGAACTAGAAAGAAAATAGGAGAAAAACCCAGAGGGGTGTATATATATATGTATGCTTGTACATGTATGTGTAGTGTGACCTAAGTGTGGGTAGAAGTAGCAAGACATACCTGAAACCTTGCATGTTTATGAGACAGAAAAATGGACACCTGCAATACTACCATCATGTAAAACAATTACAGGCTTACATTTCACACTCACTTGGCAGGACGGTAGTACCTCCCTGGGCGGTTGCTGTCTACCAACCTACTACCTAGGCAGTATTTTCTTATACTGTATTTATTAAGCAATCACATGTACATAATTTGAAACACACAGCAGAGAAATGGCAAGTATCTTGTACATACAGTAGTGAGAATTAGGATTTAGCATGTTCAGCATAACTACAAAATGTCTGTCATGAGGATAAAATACATGATGCTGAGAAGACAATGGTATGGTGAATAGAAAGTAAAATTTAAATGAAAAAATAAAACTCTTTACTCAGAAAATTATTGCATGCATATAGTCTTAACTAATCAGTGAATAAAGGAACATTATACTGCAATGGAATTTGGTAATGACATTGTGAATGCTCTTGTTTACACTGATTTTGTACATGATTTAATTCTTGTCCTATGTTTAGCTAACTGTTGCTAATATTTAATGAAATAGTTTATTATAATATGTTCTGCACGATATTTTAGACTGTTTTTGCAAGATATGTACTTATTTAATGTCATGATAGACTAGAATTCAAAATGTTGTATTCAAAATGTAGAATATCAGTTAGTTACAGGGAATGTATGCTATTTTCCAATTTTTATTTAAGTGGAAAATAACGTACACTGATAAAGGAATGTACAGTATACCTTGCATATTATTTCTTATTTTAGCAGTAATTCATGCCACTGGTGTGTTGAAACAACTCAATTTTTGAGTTATCTTTAGTTATCTTACTGAATCCACATATTGACTTTCTATCCTAATTTGTTTATACTATCACATAACTAGCTTTTTGTTATTGTACAAGCACTGCTATTTGCATTGAGTTCATGTGTGTTTTAATTGTACAGTATCTGTATACTTATTAGCCTCTTTAACCCTTAACCGTTAACCTGTCCAAACGCGATCAAGGTTTTTTTTTTTACATTTGAAAGTATGTAAAAAAGTTAGATTTTTTTTTACATTGAAAGCATGTAAAAAAATAAGATGCAACAGTTTTTTTTTTCTTTTTTTTTTACATTGAAAGCATTAAAAAAATAGATCTACTTTTGGAGTGCTACGGATGTCAACGTAGATTATTATTATTTCAATAAAAAACGAAGCTCAAACCACAAAGGGCTATAACAGCACATGAACGTTAGATCTATGTTTGGACAGTTTAAGGGTTAAACTGTCCCAAACATAGATTCATGATTCACCATTGCGTAGCACTTCCAAAAGTAGATCAACTTTTTTTTTTACATTCTTTCAGATTATAAAGAAACTTAGATCAACTTTTTTTAAACACTTTTCAAATGTAAAAAAAAAAAAATAAGTTTTTTCTTTTACATATATTTCAAATGTAAAAGTACGTAGATCTACGTTTGGACAGTTTAAAGGTTAATTTTCAATATCATTCATTTTGGTGACATCACTAGTGCTGCTGCAGTTGAATTATTACAGTAAAGCAGTTTTAATAGGTGCTGTTCAATCAGATTTTTTTTTAAATTAGTTGAAAATAAATAAATATAATATATTTATATATTATAATATATAATAATATATATTATATATATATATATTATATATATATATATATATTATATATTTATATATATATAGATAAATAATAGCAAGGAGGTTTCAGATGGGTAGGGGATGTGTAGATCAAGGTTTACATTGATAGCATATATGTAAACAGTATTTAGATAAAGGTAGGGAAGTTTTTATTGCATTTATGGATTTAGAAAAGGCATATGATAGAGTGGATAGAGGAGCAATGTGGCAGATGTTGCAAGTATATGGAATAGGTGGTAAGTTATTAAATGCTGTAAAGAGTTTTTATGAGGATAGTGAGGCTCAGGTTAGGGTGTGTAGAAGAGAGGGAGACTACTTCCCGGTAAAAGTAGGTCTTAGACAGGGATGTGTAATGTCACCATGGTTGTTTAATATATTTATGGATGGGGTTGTAAAGGAAGTAAATGCTAGGGTGTTCGGGAGAGGGGTGGGATTAAATTTTGGGGAATCAAATTCAAAATGGGAATTGACACAGTTACTTTTTGCTGATGATACTGTGCTTGTGAGAGATTCTAAAGAAAAATTGCAAAGGTTAGTGGATGAGTTTGGGAATGTGTGTAAAGGTAGAAAGTTGAAAGTGAACATAGAAAAGAGTAAGGTGATGAGGGTGTCAAATGATTTAGATAAAGAAAAATTGGATATCAAATTGGGGAGGAGGAGCATGGAAGAAGTGAATGTTTTCAGATACTTGGGAGTTGACGTGTCGGCGGATGGATTTATGAAGGATGAGGTTAATCATAGAATTGATGAGGGAAAAAAGGTGAGTGGTGCGTTGAGGTACATGTGGAGTCAAACAACGTTATCTATGGAGGCAAAGAAGGGAATGTATGAAAGTATAGTAGTACCAACACACTTATATGGGTGTGAAGCTTGGGTGGTAAATGCAGCAGCGAGGAGACAGTTGGAGGCAGTGGAGATGTCCTGTTTAAGGGCAATGTGTGGTGTAAATATTATGCAGAAAATTCGGAGTGTGGAAATTAGGAAAAGGTGTGGAGTTAATAAAAGTATTAGAGGGCAGAAGAGGGGTTGTTGAGGTGGTTTGGTCATTTAGAGAGAATGGATCAAAGTAGAATGACATGGAAAGCATATAAATCTATAGGGGAAGGAAGGCGGAGTAGGGGTCGTCTCGAAAGGGTTGGAGAGAGGGGGTAAAGGAGGTTTTGTGGGCAAGGGCTTGGACTTCCAGCAAGCGTGCGTGAGCGTGTTAGATAGGAGTGAATGGAGACGAATGGTACTTGGGACCTGACGATCTGTTGGAGTGTGAGCAGGGTAATATTTAGTGAAGGGATTCAGGGAAACCGGTTATTTTCATATAGTCGGACTTGAGTCCTGGAAATGGGAAGTACAGTGCCTGCACTTTAAAGGAGGGGTTTGGGATATTGGCAGTTTGGAGGGATATGTTGTGTATCTTTATATGTGTATGCTTCTAAACTGTTGTATTCTGAGCACCTCTGCAAAAACAGTGATAATGTGCGAGTGTGGTGAAAATGTTGAATGATGATGAAAGTATTTTCTTTTTCGGGATTTTCTTTCTTTTTTGGGTCACCCTGCCTCGGTGGGAGACGGCCGACTTGTTGAAAAAAAAAAAAAATTGAAAATAACAGTATAATGTACCCTATTTAAATATTCTACTTATTTTTTTGATAAAAATATACATACTATAATATGCATTTCTTATCTCTTAAAATATTTTTCTTATTCATTTCAGGTTTCGAAAGCCTCCTGAGGATCAGTATGCTGCCATTGGTCAACTATATGGTTTGAAACCAGATCCTCAGAAACTAAAACATGCATTTGGGTATGTTTTATGGATAAGTAATTATTTATTTAGGGGAGAATTGTGTTACATTTAGGTAGTCCTATAACATGAACTTCTTTTGGCTTTGCCCTATTAATTTTGTATTTAGTTTTTCCCACCAATGATTAGCACCAGAATTTAAACACACACTCTTTGTCATAATACAGTTCTCTAGAAGCTTGGTCACCTTTCTGTAATGGTGTGGGGTATATTTGGCCAGTGCTCAGGGAAAAGAGAGACATCTTTTAAAAAAGTGGTTGTCAAACCCTGCCCGAGAACTTACCCAAGAACTTCTCACCTGTCCATTTTGCATGAGGGTCTAAAACTAATTTTAACCAGGGCCATACTTCCACTGTTGTACCTCCTCCCTTCATATCTTCTCATCCATGAGACCCAGTCACCTTCTTCTGCCTGTTATACACAATTTCTTCCTGCATTGCATTGTCTTCAAAATACACAATACATGTACTCTTACCAAGATGAAGGGTCTTAAAGATATATTATTTCTGGAATTGGAATTGGTTAGCACATTTTCACCCAGAATGGCTCTCCTTCACTGAAGTATACAAAGCTTACTTTATCATATGGTCATTCTCTTGGGCATTTGATGTTACTGATGCTGCTACATACCTGACCAGTTTGTAAGGTATGTAGCAGCAATTGAAGACCCATGAATTCTCCCTCTTCATTCTTCATTGTAGTGTCCATATACCTCAGTATGTTTATACAGATGTTTTGGAAGTACTTATCCTCTATCTTGTATGACCTGAACCCACTCCAAGTTTCACTAGCGTATACAATTCACCCTTATCTCTTTTCATCTCTGTCTACCTGAATATAAATTCCTTTCCTAAAAGAGTGTATCAGCACTCCTCAACTCTTCCACAGGAATGTGTTCATTTGCTTTATAATAGTGCATGCACTGTTATAGACACTGAACTTTCCCACACCAACACATACCATTGTGATGAATGGTTTGAAAAACCGACAAGTTGAAGATTGAGACACTTATGCAGCATATGGGAATCTTTATTCAGGAAATGTTTCGCCACACAGTGGCTTCATCAGTCCAATACAAAGAGGAAGGCGTAAGGAGAGGAGGAGTATGAGGTAATCAGTCCCTCAGCCTGGAGTCGATGTGTTCAGTCCATCAATCTTGTAGAATCTTGTAGATTGATGGACTGAACACATCGACTCCAGGCTGAGGGACTGATTACCTCATACTCCTCCTCTCCTTACGCCTTCCTCTTTGTATTGGACTGATGAAGCCACTGTGTGGCGAAACGTTTCCTGAATAAAGATTCCCATATGCTGCATAAGTGTCTCAATCTTCAATACATACCATTTTGAGACATGCTTTTTTGTTGTCTGGTTGAGGAACTGCTCAGTACTGAGCCATTCTTCAACCAGACAACAAATGAGTTAAGCAGTTCCTCAACCAGACAGCAGAGCATATCTCAAAATAGTATGTGTTAGTGTGAGAAAGTTCATAGGAGTGGATCCCAATTTATATTGAATGATAATGTGTATATGGACTTCAGTAAGGCTTTCGATAGAGTTCCACATCATAGGCTATTGAGGAAACTTAAGGCACACAGAATAGGAGAAGAAGTTTTTTCCTGGGTAAAGGCATGATTGACAAATAGGCAGCAGAGAGTTTGCATAAATGGAGAGAAATAAGAATGGGGGCACATCACAAGCGGTGTTCCACAGTGGTCAGTGTTGGGCACCTTGTTGTTCACAATTTACATAAACAACATAAATGAGGGAATAAATTGCGACATAAGGAAATTTGCTGATGACACCAAAATAGGCCGTCCAATTTATTCTAATGAGGACATTAGAGCACTCCAGGATGATTTAAATAGACTGATGCAGTGGTCGGAGAAGTGGCAGATGCAGTTTATTATACACAAATGCAAAGTTTTAAATGTTGGACAGGAAAATAACCATGACACATATAAACTAAATAATGTTGATCTTAATATTACTGATTGCAAAAAAGATTTAGGAGTTCTGGTTAGCAGTAATCTGAAACCAAGATCACACTGCATAAGTGTTTGCAATAATGACACAAAGATAGGTAGGATAATTGATTCAAACGTAGATGTTATGGAACTTCAGGAGGATTTAAACAAACTCTATTCTTGGTCAGAAAAGTGGCAGATGCAGTTCAATGTAGATAAATGCAAGGTTCTGAAGCTTGGGAGTGCCCATAACCCTAGTACTTATAAGTTAAATGATGTAGAACTTAGCCATACAGATTGCGAAAAGGACTTGGGGGTTATGGTGAGCAGCAACCTTAAACCAAGACAGCAATGCCTAAGCGTACGTAATAAGGCAAATAGATTACTGGGATTTATATCAAGAAGTGTAAGCAACAGAAGTCCAGAGGTCATACTGCAGCTTTATACATCATTAGTAAGGCCTCACCTAGATTATGCAGCTCAGTTCTGGTCTCCGTATTACAAAATGGACATAAATTCATTAGAAAACATTCAGCGTAGGATGACTAAATTAATACATAGCATTAGAAATCTTCCTTATGAAGAAAGATTGAAGACTCTTAAGTTACATTCACTTGTTAGACGAAGAATGAGGGGAGACCTGATCGAAGTGTATAAGTGGAAGATAGGTATTAATAAAGGGGATATTAATAGGGTCTTGAGGATCTCTCTCCAAGAGAGAACCCGCAGTAATGGATTTAAATTAGATAAGTTTAGATTTAGAAAGGACATAGGAAAGTATTGGTTTGGAAATAGGGTAGTTAATGAGTGGAACAGTCTACCTAGTTGGGTTATTGAGGCTGGGACTTTGGGTAGTTTCAAATCTAGGTTGGATAAGTACATGAGTGGGAGGGGTTGGATTTGAGTGGGACTTTCACATCAGAGCTTATTTCTTGAGTGGCATTGAAAATTGGGTTGGGCAAATGTTTTGTTAGTGGGATGAATTGTAAAGGACCTGCCTAGTATGGGCCAGCAGGCCTCCTGCAGTGTTCCTCCTTTCTTATGTTCTTATGTTCTTATAAAGCTAACAGAATCCTTGGCTTCATATTAACCCTTTGAGGGTCGACAGGCCCTCTCCAAGACTCGTTTTCAGGGTCGGCCAAATTTAAAAAAAAAAAATCCTTATGAAAAGATAGAGAATCTTTTCCCGTTCATAATGACACCAAAAGTATGAAATTTGATGGAAAACTTATGAAATTATGCCCCTGCGAAGTTAGTGGTCTCGGCAATGTTTACGCATCGGCGATTTTGCCCACTTTGATCCCCATTTTCGGCCAATTCCACTGTACTATTCGACAAAAAACATGAATATTTTGCTAGAACTCCATTTTTTCTATTGAATGAATGCAAGAAACCACCCATTTACCAATTTCAACTATCCAGTACAGTTGTCAGAATTTAGCAATTTTGCCAATTTCACACAAATTTCAAAAGATGCCAATTTCCAAATAGGGTCCAGAATAAACAAGAAAGGCATTCCTGGCACTAAAATGACATTTCCTCTGTTCATTAGTCACATCTCAAGGCCCCTCTTACATTCTTTTGCTTTCCACTTTGAATTTTTATTCTCACAAAAAATAGAAGATTTACTGTTATGCAGACTACTGCATTAGTGTAAAAAATGGTATAAATAACATTGGCGCACTTGCGAAAGAATATTAGACTCACCAGTTGATGTGTATTGGACGCATAGCACAATTTGTTTACTTTTGAACTTTGGTAAAAATCGAACATTTCTGCTACTTTGAGCTCAATTTCAAGGTACTTTTCTTTGTAAAACCAGTCAAAATCATCTCTATTTCTGTAATATGTCTTCCATTCTATAAAATGAGACCAGGAAAACTAGAATACAACAATAAATACCATACGAAAATACAGTGTAAAGTCGCTGTTTTAATCCAAAAACACGGTCAAAGTTTTTTTTTCTTATTATGCACTGTGCTGCAGGATTTATTTTTATATCACGCACACTGACCACATAGACCCATTCTTTCATATGTAGGCCTACCAGCTTTCTCTCATTAGATTTGAGGGCGCTGGAATTTAGGCGTACTAGTACGTCAAAAACCCTGGTGCGTAAGCCGTACTAGTACGGCCGAAACCCTGATAGGGTTAATGAGTAGAATTTTTATAGATTCATCAGAGTGCAGACTAGTGCACATCATCATGTGTTGGGAAATAATTTGACATCCAGTCTCTTAATTCGGCAGAGGCCTGCATAAATAAAATTCTTGCATAAAGATGGAGTGTATAATGATTTTACTTGCAGGGTAATTCATATGTACTCTATAGTATTAAAGGAATACATTATTTAATTAAAAGATATATATGATCCTTAATAAGAGCATATTTGTGCATGAGAATTCTCTCTTATTTCAGATTATGCTACAAGAAACTTGAAGAGGAAACACCTAATTTTGGAGCTGAAAGTATTGGCTGGCAAAATTGGTGGCTTTCAATTGTAACTGAAACATTTAGGAGAGCTGAGTGTCATGCTGAGGAAAGCACACTAAATGCTGTTGGCAACCACCTCATCAAGCATTTCTCAAGTTCTCATGCATATGAGCTTCTTGATGGGTCTATACCTCTATTAGAAAAGATTAACAACAAAGCAATAAAAATTGGAACTATATCCAATTTTGATGAACGCCTGGATGGCATCCTTCTTCAGTTAGGTGTTAGGCATTATTTTGACTTTGTTATTAATTCATATAGTGCCAAAGCTGCTAAGCCAGATCCTAAAATCTTCCAGCAAGCTTTGACTCATGCAGGCAATGTCAGTCCAACTGAAGCTCTTCACATAGGAGATGACCTGTATCGAGACTATCTAGGAGCAAGGGCTTGTGGGTGGCAAAGTTATTTGGTGTCTAGTGATTATCAGCAACTATGTGAGGAATTTGGTGTCACACCAGATGAAGCCTCTATGTTTACTTGTTTAAGAGAATTGTTACCTGTAATAGAACTTTCTACCAAACCTCTAAACACTTGTAAAGAAATATAGTATATTTCTTAATTTTCTTGCGGTTATTTTATTATATAAAAGTAAATATTTTGCTTACAAAAAAATGATTGTTGTATCAAATTGTAGGAATTTTGTAAAAATTATGAGGCTATCACTTTTACCTCCAGTGCAGCATTCCAGATATTCCTTGTTAAGATTTTTATATAAACCCCAGACTTCCATCAATATGGGAGAATTCATTAACTACTTCAGATATTCCAAAGATTATAAAATTGGATGTTCAAACTTTGTAGATGGTGTTGCTTTAGGGTTAGTTAGTAAACACTCCTGTGGCCACAGGGGAGTACAGTTGTATGAAAAAACTGAAAGTGAAGATAAGAGCAGGAATCAGAGAAAGTGGATGCACTCAGCACTAATAGCTCTAACATTGTTTAGTACTCAATCAGAAGGAAAGGAAGAAAAGAAAGACTCAGAATTAATCACAATGATTAAAAGAGGAATATTGGCTCTGAAGGTAAGACACCAAAAGTTTTTGCTGCATTGCATGTTAAATAAAATAAAACATGCTTAGCCTTTGTGAAATTATTGTAACAATGTTATTAGAAATTTATCTACATAATGTATCTTTAAATACCATATAAATATAGTAAATGACTCATAGCTAGCTTTATTTCAGTTCATATATTTAGTTGGTAGCAAAGTGGGACAGTGCCATACCTTGTTATTCTTGTGTGAAATAATGACTCATGAAATCGTGTATTCTTAAAGCTGTGTATGAAGTCTTCCTCTACCAGTTCCTTATTCATTTCACCAATTTTTTTTACTACCCTAATGTCCTAATTTGCTGATATGTCTGCATGTGTCATCTTAATTTTTAGCTTCCATCTTGACTCTCCTTGTCTCTGGTCCACATGTTTCATTATGACTATCCATATCTGTTCTATCAAATCCTACAAATATTTACTCCCTTTTGATAATGTTAAGAAAGCTTGATAATATGTTTTCCCTTATAGCTTTGTTCTGGTTTCCCCTCACTTAATGTGGTTATGCTTTATGCACACTTGCTCTGATGTGATGTCTCATTGATGCTGATACAGTAATTCAATATATGCAATTTACATTCACCATATACCTTCAATACCATGCTTAATGTGTATTGAAGATTTTTATGCAGAATTAAGTGTTGATTGCCTGATTGAACCTAACAAAGCTTTCATGGGCCTGGAACACTTGTTGAAAGAAGTGAGGGACACCTGTATGTGGTTACTGTCTCTTTCCCCCCTTCCCCTCTGTTAGCCATGAAGGGCATTTTTAGCGTTTGCAACTTTTCTTTATAACTCGATTTCTTTAGCTCTGGGAGCCATGTGCAGGTTCCAGTTTTCCCAGTCAGTTTATCTATGATCCTCAATAATCAACAGGTTTGCTTTTAATCATTCCTCCTCTCTGCTGTTTTTATGATTGGTAACCTGTTGTTTTCATCATGCTCCATCCCCTGTCTTCTATTTAGTAAGGTGTTGTACATACAGTGGAACCTCGGCACTTGAACTTAATTGGTTCCAGAAGGCTGTTCGAGTGTCGGTCTGTTTGAGTACAGACCAGATTTATCCCAACCAATTTTCCTTTTGGTTGGCTGTTATCACTAACAATCTTAGGCCCCATGGTGACTTATTTATACAAGTAATATAAAAAAAACACCAAAAAAATGTGAAGAAACACTAAATAGTTTACAGCGAAGTTCTGGCAGGTCGTGTTTGTTTGGTTAAGTGCTAAGCAAATGGTCGACTACCAAGCAATTTGTTTACCGAACAAAGCGTTTGAATACCGAATTGTTCGAGTACTGAGGCTTCTTGGGGACTTCCATGTTCCTCAAATGAGAACACAAAGAAGCACTAAGATTTATAAAGAAATTGGTTTTTTATGTAAAAATATGTAAAGTGATAGTAAAAGGGATACCAGTTATGATAGGCAAATTTGCTATGGTCTGATGACGATAGCAAATTAAAAATATTTTATAATGAGCAGAAACAACTCGAGTCCCTCCCAGTGCTATACAGTACAATTGGTCTTGAAGTCCCTTTGCATTAAAAACAGCATTCTCTAATGATATAGAGTAGATCACTTAATTGCTGTGTAGAGCTTTATCATGAAGCTCTACACAGCTTTATGATAAAGCTCTGTGCCTTCAATACTATCGGCAGTATGCCTTTGTATTTGGTTTACGGACAGTTATTCTCTCTAGTACTAGATTTCTTAAGTCAATACTACTGGTATATAGAATGTATATTTTTGAACCACTGTAAAACCTCTGTATTATAAATACGGTACATTTTTATGCAAAGCCTGATTTATATTGGAATTCATGGATGATTTTGCATCATGATCTTAATGGTGAATATTATTAACTGTTACTGTTTAATCACCAGAGAGGAGAGCTACAAAAGGCTGAGCAGCTTCTTCATGTGGCCCTCAAAAGTGCTCAAGAAACTCAAAATGAACTGGCTATTATATATATCTATGATCTCCTTGCTAATTTGGCATACCAGCGAGAGGAATATTTAAAAGCTGAGAAACTGTTTAAGGAAGTCTTACAAAGAATTTTGTCAGGTAAGTTTTCTGTTAAAATATACTTTCATAGTTTTCCTTAACAGCTTTTTCATCACATTCTGTAAGTGTTGTATTGTATCTTGTGTAAAAATAAATACTTTACCAGATATATGTAAATCTTTTCCTTTATTTTACTCACTGTAGGTAGCTCCACATTTCAAATTTAAAAAAAAAAATGATGAATTGAAGAGAAGAATACTAAACACTAGGAAAAATTTCACAAATAACTAACACTTAGGAGAGGTACCTTATGACAAAGTTTCAGTCCATCCTTGAACATTGTCAGGTCACAGTTGTGATTTGACAGTAATCCAGAATGTTATAGAGCTCCTCTCCTAAGTGTGGGTTATCTGTGAATTGTTCGTGAGGCAGTAGGTAAAATGAAAGAACATAAGAAAGGAGGAACACTGCAGCAGGCCTGTTGGCCCATACTAGGCAGGTCCTTTACAATTCATCCCACTAACAAGCATTTGACCAACCCAATTTCCAATGCTACCCAAGAAATAAGCTCTGATGTGCAAGTCCCACTCAAATCCAACCCCTCCCACTCATGTACTTATCCAACCTAAATTTGAAACTACCCAAAGTCCTAGCCTCAATAACCCAACTAGGTAGATTGTTCCACTCATCAACTACCCTATTTCCAAACCAATATTTTCATATGTCCTTTCTAAATCTAAACTTATCTAATTTAAATCCATTACTGCGGGTTCTCTCTTGGAGAGATATCCTCAAGACCTTGTTAATATCCCCTTTATTAATACCTATCTTCCACTTATACACTTCGATCAGGTCTCCCCTTATTCTTCGTCTAGCAAGTGAATGTAACTTAAGAGTCTTCAATCTTTCTTCATAAGGAAGATTTCTAATGCTATGTATCAATTCAGTCATCCCATGCTGAATGCTCCCTAACGAACCCATGTCCACTCTGTAATACGGAGATCAGAATTGAGCTAAAAGGGGGTAAGGCAGCCGGGATTAATGGGATAAAGATAGAAATGTTAAAAGCAGGTGGGGATATAGTTTTGGAGTGGTTGGTGCAATTATTTAATAAATGTATGGAAGAGGGTAAGGTACCTAGGGATTGGCAGAAAGCATGCATAGTTCCTTTGTATAAAGGCAAAGGGGATAAAAGAGAGTGCAAAAATTATAGGGGGATAAGTCTGTTGAGTATACCTGGTAAAGTGTATGGTAGTTATTATTGAAAGAATTAAGAGTAAGACGGAGAATAGGATAGCAGATGAACAAGGAGGCTTTAGGAAAGGTAGGGGGTGTGTGGACCAGGTGTTTACAGTGAAACATATAAGTGAACAGTATTTAGATAAGGCTAAAGAGGTCTTTGTGGCATTTATGGATTTGGAAAAGGCATATGACAGGGTGGATAGGGGGGCAATGTGGCAGATGTTGCAGGTGTATGGTGTAGGAGGTAGGTTACTGAAAGCAGTGAAGAGTTTTTACGAGGATAGTGAGGCTCAAGTTAGAGTATGTAGGAAAGAGGGAAATTATTTCCAGTAAAAGTAGGCCTTAGACAAGGATGTGTGATTTCACCGTGGTTGTTTAATATATTTATAGATGGGGTTGTAAGAGAAGTAAATGCGAGGGTCTTGGCAAGAGGCGTGGAGTTAAAAGATAAAGAATCACACAAAAAGTGGGAGTTGTCACAGTTGCTCTTTGCTGATGACACTGTGCTCTTGGGAGATTCTGAAGAGAAGTTGCAGAGATTGGTGGATGAATTTGGTAGGGTGTGCAAAAGAAGAAATTAAAGGTGAATACAGGAAAGAGTAAGGTTATGAGGATAACAAAAAGATTAGGTGATGAAAGATTGGATATCAGATTGGAGGGAGAGAGTATGGAGGAGGTGAATGTATTCAGATATTTGGGAGTGGACGTGTCAGCGGATGGGTCTATGAAAGATGAGGTGAATCATAGAATTGATGAGGGGAAAAGGGTGAGTGGTGCACTTAGGAGTCTGTGGAGACAAAGAACTTTGTCCTTGGAGGCAAAGAGGGGAATGTATGAGAGTATAGTTCTACCAACGCTCTTATATGGGTGTGAAGCATGGGTGATGAATGTTGCAGCGAGGAGAAGGCTGGAGGCAGTGGAGATGTCATGTCTGAGGGCAATGTGTGGTGTGAATATAATGCAGAGAATTCGTAGTTTGGAAGTTAGGAGGAGGTGCGGGATTACCAAAACTGTTGTCCAGAGGGCTGAGGAAGGGTTGTTGAGGTGGTTCGGACATGTAGAGAGAATGGAGCGAAACAGAATGACTTCAAGAGTGTATCAGTCTGTAGTGGAAGGAAGGTGGTGTAGGGGTCGGCCTAGGAAAGGTTGGAGGGAGGGGTAAAGGAGGTTTTGTGTGCGAGGGGCTTGGACTTCCAGCAGGCATGCGTGAGCGTGTTTGATAGGAGTGAATGGAGACAAATGGTTTTTAATACTTGATGTGCTGTTGGAGTGTGAGCAAAGTAACATTTATGAAGGGGTTCAGGGAAACCGGCAGGCCAGACTTGAGTCCTGGAGATGGGAAGTACAGTGCCTGCACTCTGAAGGAGGGGTGTTAATGTTGCAGTTTAAAAACTGTAGTGTAAAGCACCCTTCTGGCAAGACAGTGATGGAGTGAATGATGGTGAAAGTTTTTCTTTTTCGGGCCACCCTGCCTTGGTGGGAATCGGCTAGTGTGATAATAATAAAAAAAGAATATTATGACTTTTTTGTTCTTCAGTAGAAAAGTATATATAAAAAAAATTATGTATATTACAGTGACCACCTGATTAACCATCACATACTTATCTAAATTGGTACTGGGCTGCCAGTTTGACAGTTCATATATGAAATTGGTCACTCAGCTGGATTCTAACCCCTTATTGGTGGTGCCTTGATTCCAGTGAGGGACTTTTGATTTATTCTCTCCCATCTTGGATTGAACCTGAATGCCTCCCATTCCCAGGTTGAAATGAAAATGTAACTGGTTGCTGAAAAGACAAAGTGTTTGGCTTGCCATCAGTTTGATGCAGCAGGGATAGAGGGTGGCCTAACTACTGATGCTGCTGTTACCCCCAAGAGGGAGACGGCCGACTTGTTAAAAAAAAAAAAAAAATTTTTATTTTTCAAATAGTGAATTGTTGTAATAGTATTGGTACAGGATATGTGTGATTGGTTGTGGTGGTATTTATATTGTATTGACAAATACATAGAAAGGCATAATGATGCTTCTTTATACATCTTATTGTATTGAGGTATTTATTATTATGAATTTTATACTATACTGTAATGTGTAAATTTTTAGAAATTTAAACTTTTGCATTATTTTGATACATTGGTAATGCTACTGGTTTTTACAGGTGGTATGGCTGAGGATGACAATGCTGTTGTAGAAATAAGCTTGAAGCTGGCTAGTGTTTATGCATCAATGTTTGACTATGAGAAAGCTGTCGAAGGTTTCCAGTTTTGCATTGCAACTCAGGAAGACAAGATTAAAAAATATGGCGAGAAGAACCTTGATGAGGACACACTGTTGTTGTGGGCTATGAGCATGGATTGGTATGCTCGATTTTTGCTTAATATCAAGAAGTACGATTTGGCGAAAAAACACTTTGTTAAGGCCTATGAAATGAGTGAACGTATAAATGGCCTTGGACATGAGCAAACAGCAGTTTTGCTAAATGATATTGGTTCTGTATGTTCTTTACAGAAAGATTATACAGAAGCAATTGAATACTTGGAAAAAGCAATTGATGCTGCAAGAGAATGTAAAAGCCTGGATATTGGTTCCTTTTATGTAAACCTTGGAACTGTTTATCTTCAACAAAGTATGATTGCTGAAGCAGAAAGATGTTGTAAGGAGGGTTTAATTTTATCAAAGAAAATGGAAAATAAAGATGCCACTGAAGAGGCCAAGATTTGCCTAGAAGAAATTCAGAATTTGCTGAAAAAGAAATGAATTTCTTTTGTTACTTCAATTTTTCTTCAGGTACTGGGGTAATAGAATTTTCACTAAAAAAATTATACTTTATTATTCTGTCTTTTGTTGTTGTGTTTCTTGTATAGACTTGTACAGTGTTATATTACTGCCTCACACTGATCATATTTCTGTTGAAAACAGGTATTTATTATATTTTCCTCCCATCTCTTTAACTTAGTAGATCTTTAATCAGCCTTGTTAAGCTCTACTGATATTTCTTTATCAGATGAGACAAGGGCCCATAGAGATGCAATAAATAAAATCATGAGACTCAGAAATAACTTGTATCACAAGAAAACATTTATCTTAGTTCATTTTGGGCTCCACCTTGAAACTAATTGTTGAAATTCTTGACACAATTTTCTTGCTAAGAAAGAAGAGAGGGCAAAAAATACTAGAAAGTTCCTTACAAGCAGTAGTAGATAAGGTAGTGAGTTCTACATCCATTGATAATTAAAAACAAATATTTATGGTAGACTAAATACTGGGGATAGGACAATATGAGATTAGCTCTGCTTCCATAGCTACAAATCAGTAATTGTACACACACACACACACATACACACATTACTTTTACACATTACTCAGAAGCTGTTGAACCTTTACTAATGTCAGTCTTCATGTAAGCCTTTCTTTATATTTTTTTCATGAAGTTTAACCTCTTCCTGCATATTATTTCAATAGTGGAAAATTTAACATATTAACATGAGTACTGCCTTTATTTAACAGCACCAAATGTAGACAGATATGCAAGTAAAGCACTATATATAATAGATAATCTGTACAGACAAAAGGTGTTAAACAGATTCTTCATATTAAGACATTTTAATTATGAATATGTATATATGATGAATGATTAAGGTTTAGAAATTTTAAACATTCATCAGCTATATGCTCCTGTTACGTGCTTCAGAATTTTGTGTATACAGGTAGGCCATCACTAATCCGGCAACCAGTAATCTGGTTCCATCAGTAATCCGGTTCCATCAGTAATCCGGCACTATTTTCGGCTAGCATAACTTCAAATTTCCGGGGTTGCCACATGAGCCTGCTGCTATTGTTTGGTGGTGCTACTTGCTGCATAATTCATTCCAATTTCTTTTTCTCTATTTATTATTTATAACCTGCTCACTTTTAGCCCAAGCCATGGTTCCATTGAATAAAAGAAATGCTTCTCGTTGTGTAAAGCACATGTGCTGTACAGTGTCCATTAAAAATGAGGTGGCTTTGAAGCCACTGTTGGTTGCCATTAGCTCAGCTCACTCAGATAAGCTGTGACTGGTAAATTTGGGCCTACATGTGAGAGAAGAGGTCTGTGTGGCAAGTGTGCACTATATAAAAAAAAATCCTGCAGCATGCAGTGCACAATGAGAAAAAAACTGCGACCGTGCTTTTGGTGTAAAACAGCGACTTGGCGGTGTATTTTCGTATGGTTTTTATGGTTATATTCTCATATTTTTTTGGTCTCATTTGATAGAATGGAAGATATATTACAGAAATAAATATGATTTTGATTGGTTTCATGACAGATAGTACCTTGAAATTAAGCTCAAAGTAGTGGAAAAGTTCGATTTTTGCCAGTGTTCAAGAATAAAATGATGTCACCATCCAATACATGTCCAGCTAGCCTGTCTAGTATGTGGTTATGAATACGTTAACATTATTTATACAATTAGTACTACAGTAATGCAGTAGTGAGCATATCAGTAAATCTTCTATTTTTTGTGTGAATAAAAGTTCAAAATGGAAAGCAAGTGAAACATAAGAGGGGCCTGGAGATGTGACTAATGAACAGAGAAAGTGTTATTTTAGTGCCAGGAATGTCTGCATTGTTTATTCTGGACCCTATTTTGAAATTGGCATTTCTTGAAATTTGTGTGAAATTGGCCAAATTACTGATTTCTAACTACTATATTGGGTAGTTGAAATAGTTAAATGGGTGGCTTCTTGTACTCAATCGACAGAATAGAAGGAATACTAGTGAAATAGAGTGGTAGACTGGAACAATGGAATGATCCAAAAATAGGGCGTAAATTGGGTTAAATCGCTGATGCCTAAATATCATGGTTGGGTTAAGTGTATTCTAACCTAACCACTCTGTAATGTGTCAAAATCACTATTCCAGTACCCTACAGGTCCCAGTAATGCCGGATTAGTCATGGTCAACCTGTACCTTATTATTTTCCTTCTTAAAACCTGTAACATTTAATCAAACCTCTTTCTGACACCAAGCACTCCATACTTCCTTACTATGCCTTCTGTGACAGTTTCTCCAAATTTTTCATTGAAGCCTCCTAAATTACAGGTGAAATAATTATTTTTACTTTTTCCCATTCAAATTTTCTGACATTTTAATTGGGTTGCACTCATTGACAGGACATGCAGTTTCTGTGCATTCATAATTGCAGTTAGTCTTTATATCAATAATAATCCATGCCAGTTCACTCTTTGTATATACTGTACTGTGTTTGTATATTAAATATGTTCCATATGTTATATATGACAGATTTTCAGTGATGAGATGTCCTATCAGTTACTGGTGTACTGTCCATCAGAACTGAAGTCAAGGCTGTGATTTTATGATCACTCAAGTCCCAATAGCACTTAATCAGACAACCGTGCAAATGTTCTTATCAGTTTTATATTATGTAAATGTGTACACGTGTTCTCACCTTTCTCTCTGTATTTGTGTATGCATGCTCAAGTGCATGTGCATGCTTGCTTGCGAGAAAGAAAGTGACTGAGTGAGTGTGCATGCCTGTGTGCGTGCTGAATTTGCCAAATTGAACAGTAATGGTCAGCACTCTTAAGTTTTATGAGTGACTGCAAGGACACAGCCTCAGCCTTGGCCAGACAGAACCTCAAGTATGATGTCTGAGTTATATCCTTTTTCCCAGTATTGGGCAAAGCCTCAGCTAGAAGTAGATTGATTTGGAATTATAAGCAGACATGTTGACCTACACTCATGTTCATGTGCACATACAGCACTGTTCATACAGATGCAAGTACATTTACATTCTCTACTTATGTAGATATGTACATTTGTACATGCTGTATATTACTGCTGATGTGCACATGCATGCACATTAATTTTTATATATCTTTAGTTAGTGTACACTTTAATTGTCTATTATAATATATGAAATGATAGTCATTTGTGATGATTTTTTTTGGTAGGAGTTAAAGTTAAGTTAAATTGATGCATTTTTTACATCTTAAATTGCTTTCTATACAAAGTTTACTCATCTGCTCCCCATTATCATTTACACCTGACACCCCAAACTTACCTACCATGCCTTCTCTAAATGCTTCTCCTACTTTAGCATTTAGGTCCCCTACCATAATTACTCTCACTTGGCTCAAAAGTTCCTACACACTTGCTTAACATCTCTCAAAATCTCTCTCTCTCTCCTCTACACTCCTCTCATCTCCAGGTGCATACACTTTATTATGACCCACTTTTCACATCCGACCCTTATTTTAATCCACATAATCCTTGAATTTATACATTTATATTCTCTCATCTCTCTCCATAACTGCTCCTTGAACATTATTGCTACCCCTTCCTTAGCTCTAACTCTCTCAGATACTCCTGACTTAATCCCATTTATTTTTCCCCACTGAAACTCTCCTACCCCCTTCAGCTTTGTTTCGCTTAGGGCTAGGACATCCAATTTCTTTTCATTCATAACATTTGCAATCATTTCTTTCTTATCATCCGCACTACATCCACGCACATTCAAACATCCCAATTTTAAAAAGTTTTTCTTTTAATTGTTTTTAGTAATTTATACAGAAGGGGTTATTAGCCCATTGCTCTTGACATTTAGTCACCTCCTATGACATTCATAGCTTACAGAAGGAAGAATTCTGTTCCACTTACCCATGGACATAAGCAGAAATAAACAACAAGAACTATGAAGAAAATAGAAGAAAACCCAGAGGGGTTAGTATAAACATATATGCTTGTACATGCATGTGTAGTGTGACCTAAGTGTAAGTAGAAGTAGCAAGACATACCTGCAACCTTGCATGTTTATGAGACAGAAAAAGACACCAGCAATTCTACAATAATGCAAAGCTTGTGTTCCACACTCATTTGGTAGGACGGTAGTACATGTACTTTCCTGGGTGGATGCTGTCTATCAACCTACTACCTCAGTAAACTGATTCCCCTATAACTTTTACAGTCTCTTTTGTCCCCTTTCCCATTATATAAAGGAATTATACATGCTCTCTGCCAATCCCTAGGTACCTTCCCCTCTTTCATACATTTATTAAACAAAAATACAAACCACTCCAACAGTACATCTCCTGCTTTTAACATTTCGGTCATGATCCCGTCAGTTCTAGCTGCTTTACCCCCTTTCATTCTATATAATGCATCATGCACCTACCCACACACGCATCCTGCTCTTCTTCACCCCTAAAAGATGTTATACCTCCCTGGTCAATGCATGAAATTACTACCTCCCTTTTTCAATGACATTTAAAAGTTCATCAAAATATTACTGCTATCTACCCAATACCTCCATTTCCCCATATACTAACTCCTCTACTCTGTTTTTAACTGACAAATCCATATACATGTATTCTATATTTATACAGTGGACCCCCGGTTAACGATATTTTTTCACTCCATAAGTATGTTCAGGTGCCAGTACTGACCGAATTTATTCCCATAAGGAATATTGTGAAGTAGATTAGTCCATTTCAGACCCCCAAACATACACGTACAAACGCACTTACATAAATACACTTACATAATTGGTCGCATTCGGAGGTAATCGTTATGCGGGGGTCCACTGTATTATATATTCTTCAATAAGTGGAGAATTAAGCATACAGTGGAACCTCAGATTTCGAACATATCACTTATCGAACTTTTCGAAAATCGAACACTTTTTTTGAACCAACTTTGTCCCTATTATCGGACTTGCCCCTATTTTTGAACTGCCGGGTACCGGACCTGTCCGGCAGCCCGCTCTGTCCGCGTCCCCACACAGGCGCCGTGAGCCAGTCTGGTTTTGTTGATGCTTGAGTGAACACTAACCTTCGCTCTCATTCAAACATTTCATGATTATTTCTTTGTGTTTAGTGCTTGTGGGACTGTGAAATAAGCTACCATGGGCCCAAAGAAACTTGCTAGTGGTACCCCTGTGGTAAAGAAAGTGAGAAACACCATAGATGTGAAGAAGGAAATAATACAGAAGTATGAGAGTGGTGTGAGACTTGTTGCGCTTTCCTGGATGTACAGAGGACTGTAGACAGTTATTTTGTGAGACAGAAATAGAGGACTGTAGACAGTTACTTTGTGAGACAGGGGTCCAGTGACTCTCAAGCTGGTCCTAGTGGCATTAAAATACAGAGAAGGGAAGTAACCCCAGAGAGGGCTTTGATACCTGACGTCCTCATGGAGGGGGATTCTCCTTCCAAACACTAACCTCAACTCCTCCTCTCCTCCTCCCTATCTTCCTGATGCCATCACCAATCTTCAATAAAGGTAAGTAAAAATGTTATTTTATATGTTTATTTAAATTTATTAATACATAATTGAACACTATATTTGTTGTGTGTATGTAAAACTATAATTAATCTCTATAAAATGTATTTTTTGTGAATATTTTTGGGTTTCTGGAATGGATTAATTGCATTTCCATTATTTCTTATGGGAAATATTGCTTTGCTTTTCAGACTTTTCGAATTTAGAACTAGCTCCAGGAACAGATTAAGTTCGATATTTGAGGTTCCACTGTATAGTGTTCCAAATAGTGACCATAGGGCTGACCACATACTACTGTGCAATTGGTTTGATCATCATTTATTTATTTATTTATTTATTTTATGTCTTTGCAAACAGTACATTGAGATTTTATATTTAAAATAGTGGGTTGCAATGCAAAGAGAGCCTCTATTATGCCTAGGCATTATGGGCCAACTTAACATTATTGGCTTACAGTCTACTTAACGCTAACGAGTATATCATAGTTGCACAGTAGGATAGTAATTATTTCATAGTTGTACAGTAGAATATTAATTATGAATGAATCAGAATTTGTATAATACAAAGATATATTTTGAATATTTATATTCGAACATACTTTTTGAGAAAACAATGATTCAATTATATTCCTGTCAACTATGGATAAAAGGTTCAAAGTGATTGTTTCAGTTATGATGTGGGAGTACATAGGTGAGTGTGTACTGAGTATTTAGCATTTAGTCTAGGGTGATTAAGTGGCTTTTGAGAAGAGTCTTAAATTGATTTTCAGACTGGGTTACTTTAATATCTTCTGGTAATGAATTCCATATTTTGGGGCCCTTTATGTGCAGAGTTTTTTTTACACAGTGTGATATGGACATGAGGTATATCAAAAAGAGATCTGTGTCTTGTGTTGTGGTCATGTGTCCTGTTTAGATTGGTGAGGAGAAGTTTGAGTGGAGGGTTTATATTTGCGTGTATTGTTCTGTGTATGTAGTGAGCACATGAATAAGTATGGATGTTCTTAATGGTGAGCAGATTCAGACTTTTGAAAATTGGTGGAGTATGCTGGCAGGAGTGGGAATTTGTTATCATTCTTACTGCTGCATTTTGCTGGGTTATTAGGGGTTTTAGGTGATTGGACATTGTTGATCCCCATGCACAAATTCCATATGTAAGATAAGGGTATATGAGTGAATGGTATAGTGCCAGGAGAGCTGATTGTGGAACGTAGTACCTTATCTTTGATAGTATGCCTACAGTCTTGGAGATTTTCTTGGTGATTTGTTGTTTGTGTGTCTGGAATTTAAGGCTACTGTCAAGGTGGATACCTAGGAATTTTTCCTCTGTGAGTCTTGTGACTGATGATCCATTTAGCGTTATGTTAATTGGATCATTTGCAGCTTTGTTTCCAAACTGAATTAAATAGGTTTTATCAGTGTTCAGGGTAAGTTTGTTAGTCATCATCCAGGGAGATATTTTCTGTAATTCAGCATTGACTGTATTTGTTAGTATGGCTGTGTTTGGGCAGGAAAAGACATATGTAGTGTCATCTGCAAATAATATGGGTTTGAGTAGCTGTGATGCATTCGGTAGATCATTGATGTAGATGAGAAAGAGGAGTGGTCCAAGGACGCTTCCTTGTGGGACTCCTACTGTGATTGGTTGGGTGGAAGAGTTTGCATCATTTGCATACACATATTGAGTTCTGTTACTAAGGTATGATTTTAGGTAGTTGAGGGAGTGGCCTCTGATACCATAGTGCATTAATTTGGAGTACAGCAGTTCATGGTCGACTGTATCGAAAGCTTTACGTAAATCAACGAAAATGCCCAGCGGGACTTCTTTCTTTTCAAGTGCGGTATATATTAGTTCTAGCATGTGTATGATAGCATCATTTGTGCTTTTATTATTCCTGAATCCAAACTGACAAGGGTTTAATATGTTGTGTGAAACGAGGTAGGAATAGATCCGTCTATGAATTAATTTTTCAAAGATTTTAGAGAGCAGTGGTAA